TATTGTATAGAATCGGGATCTTTGTGATTCCCCTGCTCCAGCTTATTGCTTTGCTGAATTTGCAATCTTCTGTTAATTGCAACATCACACAGCCATTCCCATGGCAACCAGTTGTGCTGCCACAAATGGGAATAGGTGAACTCCAGAAACAAAGGCTTCTGATCATTTAAACAGCCTCAGCAATAAAGGGAGAAAGAGTGCAACAAAACCTTAATGTTGTATAATGGGCTTTGAGCAGAATCCCTCCCAAACATAGATGGACAGACAGGCAATATTACATATATGGAGGGGAGGAGAAAGACAACGAAAAAGGTGACACGGGTGTTTCTAAGAGAGAGATCTCTGTATCTTATCTACAAGCCTAGAAGGAAAAAAGCATGCTTGCTTATTCAGCACTTGCTATTGTTCTCATGGAGCTGTGCCAGCAAGGCAAGGAATGGTGTGAGGATTTTTGTGAAAGGTTATTTGCTCAGTTTCTATTCTCCAGTTGTTCCATCTTTATCTATTAGGAAATGAAACTAATCTATGCGTTCTGGCCTTCTGGATTTGCAACAAGCCTGCAGCAAGGATGTTATGTAAGGGATTGAAAGAAAAAGTCAGCCATGAACTTCCACTGTTGTCTGCGAAGATGCTACTAAAGATATGAGCTATGAGCAGGGAAATTGTTGATTTAAATCTCATCTCAGCCACAAACACAAATGGGGAGTGTGGGGGAAAGGGCAAAGTCCTTATCTCAAGCTGTCACCACATGATTTGTAACAGGAAGATGGTTATGGCTTGCATTATAAACAGGAGCTACTTCAGCTTTGAGGGGCCCTTAGGCAAAATGATATCTGGTGGACCCCACCTCAGTGAGTGGATCTGAAAGGCAGGCTTACTTGGCTGTACTGGAAATGCCTCAAGCATTCAGCTGCATCTAGCCCAAATTTCCCATAACTTCCGTGAATGACTTTCGATCAACTACTCAGACAAATCTACCAACATGCTCATTTTGGGGGGAAAAAACTCATACTCCAGTAGGATGGTCAGAGGAAAACGGTTCCTGTATCTTTAACAGTTGCTTAGAAGCAGAAATTTCAGGACATGCAGCTTTGAATGTAAGCTACACCCAATGAAATTTCCTCCACCACACAACTGTTAACAGCACAGGACGCCATCCTCTTTTTCACCTGGCCACCCTATGGCCATGCAATTTTAGATACTGTACTAATGTCTCAATTACTGTATTCCACAACAGAGGTTTGTCTTCCCTTTCTCCCTTACATTAAAAATAGAACAGGGGCCTCCAAACTTTTCAGTGGGAGGGCTACACTATATGTGCTCCACATTTTTGAGGGCTGAAGGAAGATGCGCCTATTCATGCATATGTGTGTGCATACTCCCGCCCACACAGCCACATGCTCGCATTCATGCATGCACACCAGCCTGCCAGCCCGCTGGGCCAGATAAAAAGGCATGGTGGGCTGGATGTGGCCCACAGGCCATAGTTTGGAGACCCCTGTACTAGAACATGCAAGAATCACCTGGATAACACATGATCAACCATCCCTAGCATTGATTGGTCAGTTTGAATTTCTGACTGTTGCTTCACTCCCAAATAAATGCATCTGTGAACTCTGTCATTGCACAGTTGCTAAAGAGCCATGGTTAAGCTGCATTGTTACAACGGGGTCTATTGCAAACTTCTTTAAGTTAGTTTTAAGACAGTGGTTTGTGATCACATTACAGTCAGCTTATTCTATGTGCCATTTTATTTTAAAAGCAACAGATTGTGTTTATTCAGATTTTATTGGAATACACTTAGCTTCATTCTGAGTTCTGAGTTCTTCTTCCTTCCCTAAGGTCATTCTCACTTCTATGCTGGAATGGCACCTAGCATGCAAATGCTGAAAAGGTCCATAAAAACTAGGTGCCATTCTTAAACAGAAGTGGTTTCACTTTTATGGTACTTGTGCAAGATGATATCCAGGAATTCCTTGTGCAAGTACAAGGCAGGTGTTCTTAAAGATGTCTGCTTGCATGGCGGCAATGCTTATCTTAATGGAAGACCCTAATTACTCCACTGGAAGAGCACAACTGGGCTATTGTTTTTACATAGAGCCAACACACAAGTAGGAATCTCTCTTCTTCATTGGTCATTATGTGAAGGAAGTAATGATGAAGAGGGCGGGTCTATGCATTCCATCATCTCCCCCAGGCTTGTTGAGTAAACTGAGAATGTAAATTTTGAAGACTACTCAAGCCATTCAGAAAGCAGTCACAGTAAGATTCTCAATATGCTGCATGCCACACATACATGCCTTAGAATCATAGAAGGCAAAACAATTAAAGTGTCTCAAAAAGTAGCTTTTCAATCAAGCTATCGCTCTATCCACTGAAATGGGGTATTCTCCTCAATAGACCCCGTTGTAATAGATTCCACTCTGAGTATGTTATAAAGGTCAGATGGGACTTGAATTAAATCACTTCACTGTTTGAAAGTCTACCAGCTAAAGTAACAAACTAGGCCATATTTTCTACTTCACTGCCCGAATATGAGGATATGCAAGACAGAATTTTTCTAATACATGTAAAGCAGTCAATCAAAAATAATGAAAAGTTCTGCCAGATGGTAGAAGGGGAAAATGCACATCTATTCACAGCAAGAAAGCAACTTTATGATAGACAGGTATGGGAGAAACAACTTGGACAATAATCTTTACGCCTCAGGGACAGCATCCAATGAAAGTTAAATGTAATAAGAGATGGTGCATATAGGGATTCTTGCAAAATTAGTTATTCTTGACAACACAACTTGTCTAGAAATCACTGAGCCCTGAGAGTTCTTGGCTCCAGTACAATAATGAGGCTAGGAATATTCCCCCCCATTGATATTTCTGTCATTTGCACAAAATATTTCTGTAAAAAATGAGTGTCTTTTCCTTTTAAGAAGCAAAGCATATACAGAGAGAAAACATGAAGGATAGACTGACTGATTAAAAACACACAAGCAATTCATCCAGTGCTTTGAATTTTTAATAGGACCATGTAACCAGGCATCAGCAATTTTAACCTTGTGCAATTGTGCAATTTGCACAAAATCATTCTTGCAAGTCTAAGCACTCTGAAGCACTGTCTCTTCAGGGATATGTGTGGCCTTACCAAGGCTTTGGAAACTTTGAAGGCACATTTATGACACTTTGCATTTTATGCCTAACCCTTATGGTCTCAGATTATTAACCAAACTTGTGCGATTATGTTTCATGTCTCTTGTAAACCACCTCATGAGGGCAATGGACCCTGAAAAATGAGCTAAAATATTTTACATAAATAAACATGAAAAACAGCAAAGGAAGTTGTTAACAGTGTTCATCTATGACAGTGGCTCATGTTGGGTTTCAGCCCTAAGCATCACTGGCTCTAGAATTGTGTGTTTTAGGGATGTGAACACAAGTACTTCATTGTTGTCAATTTAGTCCATCAAGGAACAATTTTCAAATCCCATGAGAATCCTTGCCTTTAGGTGAGAGCAATGCAAGAAGTTCTATTTTTTTTCCCTCATCAAGGTCTCGGTAATGTATGCAGACCATGTTGGTGCAAGAAGCAGCAAACAATACCTCCATGCTTGTTATCTTTATGCAACAAAGCAATAGCCATCTCACTTTCAACTAACATCCACTATTTGAATTATTTGTATTGAAGCATTTATTTGCACAATTGTGCTTAATTTGTGCAGTCCCATTCTTTCCTTTCTTCTTGTTGGGAGTGCCACAAAATACCCCTTGTTGGAAGGAGAATAATTGAGTGGTCAAGAGAACATTTTAATTCCTGGCCTGCTATTTGGTTGTGTCCATAGCTTAATGCCAACTTGGTATCTTACATATTTTGTACTTCAGCTCAAGACCCTATTTACATCCCCATCTTATACCTGTCAAGCAGACAGTGTGGATGGTGTAAATTGTGTATGAAACAAGACCCAAAGATTTTACACAGTCATATTGGGAAGCTTTCCTGAGCTTGGTTTTCACTCAAAAATCTGCATATTTCTCTTGATCCCAAGACTTGGGAACTTCTGAAGAGCTACCTGTGACTTAGCTCAGAACTGACTTAGCTTCCTGAAGAGCTTCTGCATACTGCCCCTGATGAATTGCTATTAAAATTTTGGAGTGAAAATAATAATTGAATGTCAGTGAAAAGTTCTACTGAAAAGCAAGAAAAAAGAATGAGGGTCCTCTTCTCTGTCCCCCAGTAACAGAAAAAAAAAACCCAATCCCAAATCTCTTTTTCACACTTCTTGGTCATCTTAGGTATGTCAACTCCATGTGTGAGGGAACCCATGGGAAAAGTCATTATGTAGAAGCTCCACCTATGTCCTCTGGCGTGGGAGGGAGACCTTGATGGCAGCACTTTGATCTATATTAGGTGGCTGGTTAGCCACCATTATAGTTTTCCTCAGTGTTTCTGATGTAGTACGATTCTGGGGAAAATTAGATTTGTGGGAAATTAAAATGGTGCCTCCTAGCCCCAGTCAATCCTTGTGCTTATCAGAACATGGATCAACAATTAAGAAAAGGTTTAGCTGAGGCATTAGAAGTGGGCCAGTATGGAGCCCTAGGCAGTTGCCTGAGTATGGCACTTAGACACTGGAGCCACTATTAGGCATTTGCATATGTTCTACAGAGGGCTTCTTTATTTTCTCTGAAGATGTTTATTGTTGACGTATTCCTTACTGTAGAATGTGTGCCAGTGACACATCTGTTCAACAAATATTTCAGGAAAGCTCATTGTTTATGACTTATGCAGTATACACTGTTTTCCATGTTGACTACATCCTCACAATTATTTATAGATTGGAACAGAAAAGGGAAAAACCTAAGAAGGAAATCTAAATCACAAACTCAACCAATCTCTGTAAACAGAGATGGCATTTGCTACAGATGCAACAGAGCTGCTAACATTTCCTTTGGCTAGAACAAGATGCCAGGGCAAGCTCTGTGTGGTACAGAGAAGCTGCCACTTACAAGGAATTCATCAGTTGCTCCCGGTCGAAAACACATATGTCCCAGGCTTTGTGGAGAAAGGAGAAGATCATCACTTTTACCCTTTGAGCCATAAATTACAAGGGTTCTCTTACACTCCTGTGGGTCTGGGGAATCTTCAGCAGTCTTAACCAGGACTCTCCATTGTCCTGGGGAAACAAACAAATAACACAATCATATTTATAACAGAAAGTAGGGAAATGTGAAGTGTTTTCCTTACTGTTTTGAATAAATACATTTCAGCAATGCTATGCATAAGCATGACATATTTGAAGCCTTGAGCTCATACAGTTACAGTATTGGGATGATTATTTGCAATACAAGACTATAAGGTGGTAAAAAGAAAACCTTCCTGATATCTGGTACATTGTACTCATGTATTATGCTGAAGTTTTCATAAATTTGTTATGAGCTGTCAAGTCACCTTCAATTTATGGAGATCCCATAAATGAGAGCTCTCAAAAAGATCCTGTCCCCAACAACCCTGCTAAGCTCTTGCAAAATCAAGAGGGAGTCACACCATCTCACATTTAATTTTCCTCTTTTCCTGCTGCCTTCCACCTTTTCCAACATTATTGTCTTTTCCATGTCTTCTCATGTGTGTCCAAAGTAAGACAATATCATTTTTCCATTTTTGCCACATTTCAAAATGAATCTTTTTTTCCCCTCTGTCAGCTTTCTTTACTGTCCACTTTCACACCTGTACATGGTGAATGGAAATACAATAATGTTAATTATCTTGGTCTCCAGTGACACATCCTTACACTTGATGATATTTTCTAGTTCCTTTATTGTTGCTCTTCCAAATCTCAGCCATCTTCTAATTTCTTGGCTGCAGTCTACATTAGGATTGATGATCGACCCAAGGTATACAATATCTCTATTTCAATTTCTTCACTGTCAATGTTAAAGTTGTGCAGTTTATCTGTAGCCCTGATTTTGGTCCTCTTAATGTTCAGCTGCTTTGGCACTTTCTTCTTTCATTCCCGCTAAAAGTCATTTGAAGTCATTGCCACTTTCTGCCAGTAAGCTGGTACCATCTGCCTAGATTATTGACATTTCTCCCACCACCAGTTTTCACTCCTCATTCATCTGAGTCTAGTGCAGATTTCTGTATGATGTGTTCTGTGTACAGACTGAAGAGATAAAATGCACACTTGTCTGACACCTTTGCCTATAGGCAACTATTCTGTCTCTCCATATTCTGTCCTAACAGTATCTTCTTGTTCACAATACAGGTTACACATCACATAAATCAAGTGCTGAGGCACACCCATTTCTTTCAGAACGACTCGTAGTTTCTCATAATCTACACAGACAAAGGCTTTGCTGTAGTTGATAAAGCACAGCATAGACTGATCTTCTTCTGAAACTCTTTGGTGAGCTCCAGTACCTGTAGGATATTTGCAATGTGGTCTTAAGTTGCCTCTTCCTTTTTGAAATCCAGCTTGAACATAATTCATTCGCTACAAGGTAAAAGGCTTTGTTGCAACACTTTGAGCATCACTTCGCTTGCATGGAAAATCAAAACAATGGTCCTGTAGTTACTAGATTCCTTGACATCTCCTTTAAATAATATATGCAAAATCAAAAACTTATCAGTGGTGCTTTATGCCCCCATGACATATTCAGTCTAAAAATTAATGACAAAATCTCTATTCTTAGCTCCATTTGTGTTCTTCATTCTAGTTTCCCTTCCCTCACTCCATGCTCCACCTTCAGTCCTTCTTCTTCATATTGGTTAGTTTGAATGTCCAGGTAATCTACAGTCTGATGAAGATGGACCCTGATGAGAACAGATTATCATTTCAGAGCATTCTGTAGAGGCAGGGGTTCCAAGTGGCTATCACAATTTTCATGGAGCAAATAATGCAAGGGAAAAGGATTTAGTCCACCTTGCCCTGTGCTGTATTCCCAGTAAGTTCTCTCTTTTCTTCACAGTTTTTATTAAAATTTGCAAGTAATTTCATCATACATGGGTCCCAGAAAGCATCCCTGCTAAGGACACAATAGGCCTCTTGGGAAGGGAGGTGTTTATAGATTGGTGTTGTTGTCCTGCAATCACAAAGAAAGGGGTGGAAGACATGTTGTTGACCACTCATATCTCATTTTAACTGAGGGAGCATCACACAGTTTTGAAGCTTCCTTGAAGGGACACTGTTCATGGTACACAGAATTGTGCCAAGGGGCATGTAGGGAGCTGTTGCATCCTGTTTGCTCTTCTAAACGAAGCAGAAGCAGCTCCCCAAGATTTAAGCCAATGACCTGTCTTATATCACCAAGAACATGGATGGAGTGGCAAAAAGGCAGCTTGCCAGATGTTGCTGAATGGTATATCTCACCCCATTGGTTTTTGCTTGTGAACCTCATTAGAACCTATGTATTGTATACATCAGAAACATGAGGTATTAAGGATACTTTTTTGGTCCTTATGCACCTGTTTGTATTGGAAGAGAGGAGGAGATTGAAAAAATGACATAATCTTTCTGTTAGGACTGTAACCTTTGAGGCCCCATCCCCCACCAGTTTAAAGACACCTAACCATGTGACCAATAAGTTGTAATAAGATGAATTTTTATGCCCAAGTCTGTTGGGTCATGAGCAAGGAACACTGTCTTTCCTCTCAACATGGAGAAGAATGGGCTTTCAATATAAGCCCTAACCGAGACACTGAAGAGTGGGCTAGCCCTGCCCTTTTCTATTGTTGCTTTGACTGACTGGTTTGAGAGGCTCAGCAGACCCAGTGCTGCCCATGGGCTCCTAATGCACAACAGGGAACTACCCAGAGATGCTAGGCTTGGAAGCTATATAGCTTAAGTCGGCATTATTTCTGGAAACTCTTTGAACATCCTGATGAACTCTGACCTGAAAGTGCTTCTGCTGTCATTTCACAATGTGTTTTCACTTGCTTGCTGGGGGAGCTGTCCCTGTTTATTAAAAGACAGTGATGCCGGCATAAACAAAACAGTCCTTGCATCTACTCTCATAGGAACCTATGACTCATTTTAGAATTGAACGGCAAAGACTGGAAGAAAATGCTCAGTGAGAAGTCCCTTCAACTGAATGACCAGACATGCTGCTTCCATTAATCATTATCAGACAATGTGTCTGTATTTTCCATGAGATCAGACACTTTGCAGAAATGATTACCTTGAAAGGCAGTCATTTGATTTCTCTTATTTGTCCACTTAAGACTAGAATGATATGTGAATTCAATACTCCATCAAGGCAATATAAAGTATGGCTTACCTCTAGTAAATGGTATTGATGCATTCCTGTTTTCTAAAACAAAAAGAACAACATCTTATTCTCTTTCACAAAACAGATTCCACATTCTTTAAGTTTAATCAGCAACTTGGTACCTAGATAATAATTAGAGTGCAAGTGATCCTTATTTTCAGTACTTACTTCTGGCAATTAGCTCTCTCTCTGTTTTCCCATCATCCTGGTACTCATCTAGCCATCTTCCATTGTAAAAAAAGGAAGATAATTACAGTGAAAGCAGTTAGTAATTAGACTTAGTACATTGAAACCCTACATTATTTTATCCATTTTAAACAAAGTTTTTAAGTATCACTTGTCAAGTTACATATTATCATGACAGACATAAACAAGGATAGCTCCACATAATAATGGCACCCTGCACAGATTCATTTATTACATTAAATAATTAAAGCCTGCATCAATTTTAAATGTCAACATTTGAGACAGAAATGTGGTCATCAGGCTCCCAAGGAGGTGGGTGCTGACATGGGAGAAGCTCTTCAAAGTCTGGTAAGATATATGTGGCCCTAGATGTCTGGAATTGCCTATTCCTGAATTCAGTTGACATGACTGGAGGACTGGACAAGCAAAAAAAAGGGGTTTTGCTAATAGCAAAAGGAGTGTCAAGTGCAGAGGACTATCTATACGCAAGAAAGTTCAACAAAATTAGTGTTAGGGCAGATTCATATGGAATCCACCCGTATTGTTGCAATCACCAATACTGCACCTTAAGAAGTGGCTAAATGTGTTCCCTTTATCAGGTCACAGTTTAGAATCAGACAGCTTTATTACAGTCTCATTGAATTTAAAATCTTCAAATATGTTTTCAAAGGCAACCTCCATGCTCAGGTAACATTCAGATTGTACTCATGCACTGCATGAGTACAATCTGAATGTTACCTGAGGATGGAGCGCTGTAGCCAGGTTGCCTCTATCCAGAATGATCTGTGGCTGCAAAGCAGCCTTTGCTGACAATAGCTGCTTTGAACCACGCTGTAGCCAGGTTGCCTCTACCCAGAATGATCTGTGCCTTTGCTGACAATAGCTGCTTTGAACCATGGATGCCATGTAGGACTCAAGTGCAAAGCTGGGACCATCAGCACCTCAAACGACAAGTCTGATCATTCACTGGGAGTTATGCTGGATCATTAACAAAGATTTACTACATTTTGCACGAGAAGAAGAGCATTGACAGCACCTCCCTCCTGTCAGAGGGTTGTCCTTTCAGAAAACTGAGCTTTCATCAAATGTATGAACTGATTACTAATACTGATTCAGCACTTCTACTATATCACCAGGATGATATAAAAAGGAGAACAATAGATGTAGGAAGCATTGAGAGGCCAGCAGATGGCCTCATTCAGCAGACTGATGTAAATTTAGAATTCAAATCAAGATGGAATCCTGTGGAAACCCATGGTATAACTGCTACAAGGCCCAGCAGCAGTCTGCTAACAACAGCAACTGGAACAGCTGTCCAGGTAGAAGTGGAACCAATGAAATTCATTGCCAGGCCAGATAAATTATTTCTCAGGGAACCTTGTCTGTCATGACTCATCTTGCCACTGAAGAAAACCAACTAAATTTCCCAGAAACTCAAAGCTTCTGAGGGACACTTTGGAAGGCATTTATTAACTTCATACCTATTACAGGGAAACACAACTTCATTTTCTCCATCTTCTCCTTCATGAAATCTGATGACAATCTTTTCAAGAAACCATCCACTGCCTGGGATTCAGTGATTAATAATAATAATAATAATAATAATTTGTCATTGTAAGTATATACACAGTATACCCATACAATATAGCTTCCATATATATAAACTCTTGAATAGTAAGGAAATAAATCAGTGCAATTAAAGGGAAAATAGGTAATCTTGAATAGCTCTGAAACAGATTTG